CAAAACGCTAACTTGGTTGGGAGGGCTGGTGTGAGGGCCCCGATGCCCGCCTGCGGTGGTTCCTCGGGGAGTTTGCGCTGGGTCTTCTCGCTGCGTCCACTCGACCGGGGGCTGAGTATCGACGGCCTTAAGAAATGCGGCTTTGCTCCTTACCTAACAGCCAGGAACTCGGTTTCTAGACACATCTTTGGTTTTCATGCAAATGTGTATTTTTCCCATTTTTTTAAAATTTTTTTTTATTTTTTAGTTAAACCTTGTCCTTGGATTTCTAAGTTAAAACAGAAAGCTCTTCATCCAGCTGCCAGTATTATTTTAAGAAATTATTTCCCGACATGTGATATCCCAAAACACCGCCATGGAAGACGAAGATGCTTTATTTGTAGAAAATTCACCGGGTTTGATGGCCATGGCTTTCTGTGTTCCCCGGGTGGTGGGGGTACTGCAGTCCGCATTTCGTTGCTGTCGTCTAGTATTAGACGTGTCAACATCTCACCCTGGAGTCATCAGAGTTACTGAGATAGTTCTGATGAACAGCAAGAAGGCCCGAGAGAAGACTAACGCTTACATGAGTTCCTCCGGAAGTCAAGGAATGATTTCATGAGCAGTCGGAAAAATGCGGTCAAAGGTTAGCGAACAGTGAGGTCTGGCTACTGGATCCCCACACATGCTGTCCACTGAATCGTGTCTGTCCGTGTAAAACGCGTCCGTGTTGTGTCAAAGCTGAAACCTCACTGCTCCCGAGATGTAGACATTTTACATATCAGGACGCACACAATTCTTTATTGGCTGGGTAGCCTTTCACAGGGCGTGTAGACTCAAATTTTTATAGTCCCTGCAGGTCCCTCGTGAACTTTTTGTGGATCTCTGAACTTAGTCTATTTTGGCATTCCCGATTATGTGTTGTGCGTGCGAGTAAAACACTGTATGTTGTATAAATATATGGAGGTTTTTAAATATTTTTTGCAGAGGTTCCTGTTGAGGCAAGGTAAGAAAGTCTAGTATTGGATAAATGATGGTGAATATTTGAAAATGGAAGTGAAAGCGCCTTCAGATTGCCTCAACATTACGATTCATTCATTCATTCATTCATTCGGCGAATGCTGAGCCCCCGATACCTGGGTTTAATGAAGACCGGAACACAAAACCTGAGGACAGGAATGCAAAGACACGAAACCAGGGTAACACTTCACCTTGTTTGAGGACGGAGCACTGCTTCCCACCAGTCCTGGGAGGTGGTGCTTAGTCTCAAATAATTCTTCAGAACAATAAGAAACTTGCTGAAACCATCACATCTATCAGACCCTTCCTAGACGGACCCGCATCACTATTTAAATAGAAACCCTGACTTCATTTACTGGCTGACACCCGCCGTTCTCCGGGTGACAGCTCAGCCCTGTGACAGAGCGGGGCACAGGACCGCGTGATCTGATTTCCCAACGGACATCGGTCGCCAGGTGCCGGAACAAGAGACTCATCAATACTAACCTTCGCCCCGACTGTAAGGAAGCCAAAGGCAACCAAAGTGCTGAAGTCTGTTCCTTCGGATGGAAACCATATACAACAGCGACCAGTTTCATTTTCCTTGAATATTAGGTCTTTGGGTGAGCTTCTGATAAACGAACACCAAGCTTTTGATTCAATAAATATACACTTAATGCCAGACGCTGTTCTAAGCACTTCATACCTACTATGACACTTGATATTTATGTCAGTCTCCTACCGTTCAGAGATGAGCAAACAGAGGCACAAAATCTAAGACCACGAGTAGTTGGTGGAGTCAGGATCCGAACTTGAAGGCATCCCGCCCAGTCTCCTTTTTAAGCACTTACTACAGAATCCCCAAGGACTCCTTAATCGGGCTAGCATCCTTCGTGAAAGCTGAGGGTCTGAAGGAGAGGGGGGATGGCGAGGTCAGCTTCTTTCCATCGAGAGGCCGGAGCGATGGGAACTGACGTGGGAAGAGTGTGGGGGTGGGGCAGCCCAGGGAGGCAGGGAAAAGGCAGCATCCAGTTCAGTGCCTCTTTCAGAAAATCCTTTCTCGTTGTTCTTCTTTTCAGCCTTTTCAAACTGTGAACTGCGTCGGTTTGAAACACGTCTGTGAATGCCTCGACACCCTTTCCTTGAAGATGGGCCCTAATTGCCGTCCCCCTGATGGTGGGCTGGACCTAGCACCCCGATTCTGCCGGAGTGGAGCCGAGGGGGCAGGGTGTGGCCTTTGCGATGGGGCCAAGCGAGGCACGGTGGCCTCCCTCTCCTCTCTGGGACAACCTCCTCCAGGTCAGTCAGCTGCAGTCCTGGGGACAGACAGCCGAAGGCCAGGGCCACTCTGTGAGAAACTGTGGGCTTCTGCCCGCAGCCAGGAGAAGCTGGGGTCCCCCTGGCCAGCAGTCTGCTCCCGGAAGGGTGGTCGAGTTTGTACCCCCGAGTTTGGAGATAAGCCTCTCTGAAACATCATTTGAAGCGGGTTATTTTTAAGACTCAAAGACTTAGCAGGAACCATGGGCTTCCCCACAAATGCTAAAAAGAATTCAGATTGGAGACCTGGCCCAGAAAGGGAGATGCCGGCACAGAAATCCATAGTTTGATTCGGACTAGGTGTGACTGGGAGGACCCATCTGACCGAGGTCCCCTCTGTCCCAGGGTTGAGGGCGGCCCAGCCAGCACCCACTTCCTTGATTCCCTCCCTCCCCTCGCAAGCCCCAAACCATGCTCACCCTGCTCCTAGCTCAGGGCCACAGAAAAGCTCCAACCTCCTGACTTACCCTTGGGTGTCACATTCTTATGGAACCCCTGTATACACACAGTTAACTCTGAGTATTTTCTCCTGCCAATCTGTCTCATGTCAGTATGCTTATTAGGTCAGTCGGGAGAACAAAGAAGGATGAGCAGAGAAAATCGCCCCTCCCCCACGAGCCCAGCCCAGCGCGGCCTCCGAGCCAGAACCCGCCCCTGCTGCCGCGCTCCCCGATTGCGGACCCTCGGAAACCCTTCGAGAGAACGCACGCTCATTAACGAAACGGCTAAAACTGGGGGCTCGCTGCTGCACAACAACAGAAAAGCCGTGCACAAACTAGCAGGCTCGCCTCTCAAGAAAACAAAGCGGACAAATCAAAATAAAACACGACTCATCACCTCAAATTTCCAAAGGACGAAGAAACACAATTAGAGACGGCAACCTGCCGTGAGGTAAGGGCTACCCCCCAGTTCTCTCCACTCGAAGATGTAAAACCAGCTCAGTTCACTTCCCACGGAATCTCCCACGATTTGGAGATTAAATATTGTGCCACGTGCAATGTCACGTTGTGTGAGGAAGATAAAGGAGTTCGACAGTTACAAATGACGTCAAACCTTCAGAATTCTTTAAAGTCAGGTGAGCACCTGAAGATGAGCCAAAAGACTCCCCACCGCGTGGAGAAAATTAGATCTTTTTTTTTTAAGAATTTATTTATTTATTTTTAGAGAGGGAAGGGAAGGAGACAGAGAGAGAGAGAGAAACATCAATGTGCGGTTGCTGGGGGGCGTGGCCTGCAACCCAGGCATGTACCCTGACTGGGAATCGAACCTGGGACACTTTGGTCTGAAGCCTGCGCTCAATCCACTGAGCTACGCCAGCCATAGCTTAAAGTTAGATCTTAAAGCCAGCTTTAGAGAGTGAGATGCTTCACTCCCTAAAGAGAGGGCAGTGGGCAGTTCATAGGCAGAAGCACGCTGTTTGGCCATTAGTTGAAAACTCCGTAACTCATCTGGAAAGAAGTCAGAAACCCCAGCTTTCTGGCCCGGGGTTTGGCCGCCTGCGGAGGCCACGCCCCCTTGGCCCAGACTCTACAGCAGTGACGGCCCCTGAGGCTGGAGACGGGCTCCATTCCCGTAATTCCTAAGGCGAGCGCACGCTCCTTGAGTTCTCACACCGACGCAGCCACAATTACTAGCCCGGAGGTATTTCCCCCGACAGGTCACGGTATCTCCTTGTTTTTCCACTGCCCCTCCCTCGGCTCTGTTGCTCAGCCCAGGGCTTGGTGGGCCCCACTGCGTGACAGGCAGGCGCCCGTGCAGAGGGCGAGGGTGCTCCCTGGGGCGCAGGCGACTCCCCGGGCTCCGAATGGGGCCTGGGTAACCCACCTCTGCTACCGCCCCTCACTTTGTCACAAGCCCCCCACGATGTGTCTGTTTTAAAAGAAATAGTTTCCCATCCAAGTTCAGTAGTATTTTATAAGCAGACACACTCTCCTCCTTTTCCAGCCTGCGTGAAATTTAATGTCAGGATTATTATCCATTTGTCATTTCAATTTATACTTCAGTGAGCTCTCTGCCTCTGAGTTGAGCGTCCCTCGCCCCTTGCCATGAGCTCGCCCTTCGCCGAGAGCTGGCAGCCAGAGACGGGGCGGCGGCGGGGGGGCAAGGCCACACCGGCGGGCCTCTGAGAACGGACCTTTCCCACGGTTCTCATTCCGCCTCCTGAAGAGGCACCATTCGTTTTGCTCATCTCGATTTGAAGTGACTTTTACGGCACAGTAGCATTTCACGTTTTCCGAGTTGATCTCCATTTTATTTCTTGAAATACTGAGGCAAACAACATTGCTAAGACGTTGCTGATGGGGAATCCTCCTTCCCCTTCACGCCCGTCTACTGAGAGCCCACTTAGAAGGAACCACAAGTTCCTGCTCTGGACCAGCTGAGCACGGGAAGGAAACTTTAAGGCTGGTCTGGAGACTCACCGCATCTCAAACCCAATGACAGCGAACTGAACCAGACGTTCTTCCCTCCCTTCCAAAAAAAGAAATCAATCTATCTATCATCAATCATCGATCACATCTGGAATCCTATGTCCTATATAAGAATGTTATTACTGGTTTTCTTATATTTCAGTTCAAACATGTCTGAGTCTGGGGCAGGGGAATGAAAAAGCACGTGGGTCGCTGAGCCGGTTTGCCGAAGCCAACACACACGCACGCACACACACACACACGCACAGACCGCACCCCCGGTGCTGCCGTACTCACTCCGCAGCCCAGGCCGTCGCCGCCTCCGCAGGTGACTTCCCTCTGCTCTGGCCCCGGCAGCAGCCCGGCCCCGCAGCCCGGCCGGGGGCACAGCACGCCCCCCATCCGCAGCACGCACTCCTCCGCGCCGTAGTGCTGGTACCGGTTGTACTGCAGAAACAAAACCGCCTTTTAGAATAACAGTACGCATACCGAACGTTTTAGGCGAAGCATAGTAACAGTTGGTGCTGGGCGGGTTTTCTGGTGAATGCGTCTCAGTAGAAAGTGAGGAGGGGGTAGGGAAGGGGGGGGTCCAAAGTCTCCCTGTTCCACCAGGCAAAGCAGATGAGGCAGATAAGTATTTATTCTTTGCAGTTCTAGCAATTTAGCCTCAGAAAATACATTTTGCAAAGTTTGTTTTTCAGTACTACTCCACCAACGTCGTTTAACAGTGTTGCCGTGTACAGACTTCAGGGAGTGTGCCTATTCTCCGAGTGGCGCACGCTCACGATGCGTCATCGGCGACCTCGTCACGCGTGGGTTTTGTGCCTCAGTCCGGACTCCACCGGTTTCAGACCCATCTTGAGAACGGGTCCCGCCGTCCCACCCCACGGTGACGGTCCGCAGTGCAGTGACACCACTGAGCGCATTCATCGCGATGACCAAGAGGCTACTGATGAAGAACACAATTCTCCCCCTGGCGGGCGTAGCTCAGTGGACTGAGCGCGGGCTGCGAACCAAAGTGTCGCAGGTTCGATTCCCAGTCAGGGCACATGCCTGGGTTGCAGGCCACGGCCCCCAGCAACCGCACATTGATGTGTCTCTCTCTCTCTCTCTCCCCGCCTCCCTTCCTTCTCTAAAAATAAATAAATAAATAAAATCTTAAAAAAAATAAAAAAAGGGAAAGAAAAAAAAGAACACAATTCTCCTTTCATCGTCATCATTCCTAGTCTGCAAGCTGGTTTCCGTCACCCCGACTTCAGCTCTCTGGGCACTGCGGGCTCAGCCCCCGCCCATGGTTTCTCAGCCCGCACATGACACCCCGACTCCACAGCACGGTGGCCGAGGTCTCTCTGCTTGCAGCTCTAAGCTACTGCTCTCCTTATGTTACTCGATCACGTTCTCCTCTAAGCTGGGATCAAGTCCAGTGCGTTTGCTCAGCTATTAACCGGTTTACGCGGCGTTTACGGAAAGCCACTTTGTGCCAGACTGCCGTGGGCGCTGGGGATGCAGCAGTGAGCGGAAGTCTCTGTGCTCGCCCACAAGACGAGGACAGTACACCCTGAAAGACTGAATGAGCTGTGTGGTGTTTCAGATGGTGACACGTGGGGAGGAGGATGAAAGGCAGAGAGGAGACAGATCCCAGGGAAGGTGGGCGTCACCGTCTGAAGAGAGGCCCAGGGGATCGGGAGGGCCTCGTTACGGCTGGGGTGCATCGCAGCAGATGTCCGAGATGAGGAGAAGACAGAAGCAGGCAGCACGGCCACCTGGGGGACGCGCCTCCCCGGCCAAAGCTGCAGCATCTTCCGGGCCCCGAGCCCACAATGCACTTGGTTTGTCTGAGGTGCAGCGCAGAGGGTGGGGCGGCGGGCGGAGGGAAGCTAAACAGGAGACCACGGAGTCAGACAGTTGAGGGGGGTCTGGGGGGTAGAAGCCCCCGAAGGCTGTCGGAGAGCTCTGGCTGCCATTCTGAGAGACAGGGGAACCACCGCAGACTTTGAGCCGGGGAGGGGACCCACCGCGATGCGTCTCTCTGAGACAGCCCTGCGGATGGCGGGCTCAGCAGAGACCCCCGGGGGAAGGGTGCAAGCAGGAGGCAGGTCGGGGCCACTCCAGCGATCCGCCTGGGAGATGCGGGGGCTTGGCCGGGAAGGCTCGGCCGCAGGCGGGCTTGGGTGGGGAGTTCTGGGCGGATCTGGGAGGTAGTGATGGCAAGAACTGTGGGCAGACTGTGTCCGTGGGCGAGCGCGAGTGTAATGGTTTCCCCCAAGGAGACAGAAGGGGAGAGAGAACGTCGCCGAGGAGGGAATGCCTGTGAGAAGGCAGGTGGTGCGTGTGCCCGTGCTGGAGCTGGGGAAGGGGGGTTGTGCTCGTAGTCAGTCCGACAGCCTATTGTTACACAGCTAAGTCGGAGACGCCGAGCGGCTGACTGGGTGCGTGAGCCTGGAGTTCAGGAGGACATGCGGGTTGCAGGTACAACCTAGAAGCCCCGGGTGCAGGTAGGGCTGGGAAGGAGAGGCTTAGCCTGTGGCCTACTATCCATTTGCTTAGTTTTCTGGCCCTGGGAGAGGAAGAAAGATGACCTGGTCCAGTCCCCGAGCACACACGCTAACGGGGCACCCACCCACGGCCTTTACTGCGCACAGGAGTTCTTATCTGCGGAACACGGCCGGCAGGAAATGCTCGGGGTAAGGCTGCTTACGGCAAACAACCCGGAATGTGTGAGCTTGCGGGGCAAGGCTCTCTGGAAAATGTCACAAGCCGGGCAATTAGGAAGGGGGAGATGACGATGTGTCAGCAAGCGGTGAGTGATGGGACAGATTACGTAATCGAGAGATGTCTTGTTGGTGGTCATTGCGTGAGGCCTTATTTACTGAACTTTGCCTAGAGGGCACCCCACCGTGCCGGGCAAGGACCTGGGGAGCCGTGGGGGGCGCCGAGCAGAGGAACCGGCCGTCGGTGCCCAGCGCCGTCCACTGGGGAGCCAAGTAAGGCGGGGTCTGCAGTGGGTCCGTCCCTCAGACCTCACGACCCTCTCGGCACCCCTCCTGTCACGTGCTGTGTCTCCTGTGGGTGGCGCCACAGCGTGTCCGGGGGCACACGGTGGCTGCACGCAGAGTGCATTGACGAGCTCTCACCCCACTAAGTGGTGGCGAGTGGATTCTAATGACATCACCAACGGCGAGGGGATGAGGGACAGAGTGACACAGGATGGTTTCACCGACACAAACTGCCTTTCCGTTGTAAGTAAATTGCTCCGAAGCAATTGGCTGTTTTCTGATTCGAAGACAGGTTATTCATCTGTTTAACCTGGTTGATCGAGTTGTCAGCTGTGACGATGGCTTCTGTTGACGACGATGTTTGCCTGCAGACACGGTCCAGTCACCCTCAGACACTTGGTCTCCGGCGCGGGCGTGGCAGCACGTAGTCGCACGCTCCTCTCTCCGTTCGCTGGCCAAAGAATTCGTAGGAAATGCTCCACCGGACGCGTCCCATTTACGCCACCCTCGGGGCGTTGGAGCACCCAGTTCCTCTTCTGAAGGGAGACAGACACTGTCACTCACACACCTGGTGAGTTCGACGATCGAAAAGCACACGTAGCATCGGAAATAACACCAGTTCCTTCTGAACGCGTTACTTTTTTAAAAACATCGTCATATTTATTAAAAAAATAGAAAATCAACCTAGTGACCTAGAGCCAAGCGTGTGTTACATGCTGCAGACCGTGGAAGGCCCCGGGGGGGTACTTTAGACAGGGAGTTCGAAACGCGTGGTCAGTAGAACCCGTATTCAGCTCCCTGCGAGCAGTGGCCCACATTTCCCCCGGTTCCTCTCACCACCCGCCTGCACAAAGCTGGGGGGCCCCTGGAGGAACCCCGCTGTCTCCTCACTGGAGTGTCGGGGCGAGTGAGCCCTGAGTGGGGCAGAGGGGCTCTGCGCGTCTGAGGGTGCAGCGGGTGCAGCGGGTGCAGGGCAGTCCATGAGCCCCGGGCGTGGGAAGGAACCAACGCCGACCCGCTGGGTGCGGGCTTTTCCGCTCATCCGCATTTTGTAAGCAGAGCCAACCTGGAGGGACGTGATTGATCCGTGACGTGGGCGAGCGCTCTCTGGAATCTGTTCCCCGGGTGGACGCGAGCACCGCCGGCTCTCCAGCGGCCACCTGTGCCGTCGGTCCCTGCGTCGCGTGAGAGTCCGCTGCTTGTGCGCACTGCGGCTCACCTGCCGGCCCGGGCTCCGAGAGCGACCCCGAAAACTGCTCTGCCAGTTTCTAGGCTTGCTTTCCTAACGCGGGTTAGCTGCAGACGGACAGCGAAGGTCACTTAGAGCTGACAACACGGTATTTGCAAAAAGTTTTGGAAATAAAGGTTAATATTAACAGAGCATACTACTCTGCACCTCTGGGGGGAAAAAATAAAGATACCCCCTCCTGTATTTCATCAGAATATAGTGAACAGACCTTTCGTTAGCATGATCCGTCTGGGCAACATCTCGGCTCCTTGCTGTGGTTTATATTTTATTTATTTGGGGGGCAAATCATTCAGCCTGTGTGTGTGTGTGCTCATGGGTTCTCTTAAGAAAGGAGATGTTTATTTTGAAGTATAAATTCATAGACGTCCCCATAACCTCACGTTTGGAGGATCTAAACAGTGAGCCCCGGGCGAGGATAATCCAGTAGGGGTTGGGTGCCGGTGGTCTGCAGCTGGGCAGAACATCGTTCTAGGAGGAAGCAAGGGTCGCAGGTTCAAGTACCGCGTGGGCCACTTAGCTTCCCCCGTCCCTCTGGGCACTGACTGCGTGATACATTTGGGGCTCCCCTGAGGGCGGGGTTAATCAAAGGAGTTGCAAATGATTCCAGTGCTTCTAATCCCCCTCTAATGAGCCTCATGTTGTTTGTCACCTCATATTGGAAGCGGGCAGTCCGGCGTTTCCACAAACACGCACCGAAGAAGAACACGCGAACGGAAACCTCATCGGCGGAGCTGAGCCGCCGCGTCTCATCTGCGTGTGCTCTGAGCCGAGCCGGCAAGGGCTGCCTTTGGGGGTAGAGTCAGCGGGACAGTGCGGGGTGGGTCACCCACCACGCCATCCACCACTAGGTGTGGCCCAAGGACAACCGACATATAAAGGTTTCACGTTATAATACGGATCCTGTAATCCACGTGAGGAGTCAGAGACGTATGCAGTCGAAAGCATGTGTTGTGCGTGTACACATTATTTGCGAATCTCACGTGAGATATTATATGTCTAACGTACGTATTATTCGGCACCCCGGATCATTTCCTTGGCACATCTGTCGGGAAGCGGGCAGGTCTCCCTGAGCACACACAGCATTTAAACGAGGCCCCTTCGATGGGGCGCGCTCGTGTAGAAGTGACAGGGCCCCGTCCTGCGGTGGCAGGGAAATGTGGACGACGGACAGGAAGCACGGACCCCGGTGGAGAGGGCGGGCC